AGACTTTGAAGACCCTGGAACATGTGGGCAGGACTGACACAAACATGAGTGAAACAGAAATACCATTACAGTCACCGACCGAAGGAAAGATAGTGGGGAGCCAGAGATATATGATATCCTGACCCAAGTCCATCTTACAGTGGGTCCAGCAGATTTGCAGACCCATCCTGCAGTTGGTCTCTCACCTCTGAGCACATCATTTTAAGCGAATATACTTAGCATCTGGCATAACCCTCATATTGGTTCTTTGACCAGGAAGGAAGCCAAAGAACCTTCCCCCAGCCTGACCAAGAGAGCAAATCAGAAGAAATAACCCCACCCCACCCCAAGAAAGTTGTGGAGATTAAGCAAGGGTGAAGGTGTGAAGGAAGCAAGGGTGGAGGACCCAGTCATATCTGTGTTCAGTTCATCTGGAAGGACCAGAGGAATCACAGTCAATGATGGCGGACTCCTATGAACTTAACCAAATCTCTAAACACAGTCTGCAGTGCTTTATTTACTGGAACCAATCAATAGAGCCTCTATTACTTGGTACATAGTCATTGATATGGAAAATGTGTTCTTTTCAATCCCTATCAGTGAAGAAGGTTAAAAGCTCTTTGCTTTTATACAGGAAGGATAGCAATACACATTTACTGTCTCGTCACAGGGCTATAATCAAGCTCTTGCTCTTTATCACAGTGTCTGTAGATCTTTGGTCATTTTGACGTTTCAGAGAACACCACGCTCATCCACCATGTTGAGGAGATCATGCTCCTTGGACCAGGTGGGCAGAAATAGGGAAGCACACCAGATGCCCTAGCAGGACACGTGTGTGCCAGAGGGTGAGGGATGAGCCCCAGGAAAGTCCAAGGCTTGCCTCATCAATGGAGCATTTATAGTCCAGGGCATTCCACAACATTCCACTGATGTTTATGTAAAGGTGAGTTGTTGGGCCCTACTTCTCTTCAGCCAAGAAGGGGGCACAGACCTCGGTGGCCTCTTTGGGCTTCAGAGACAGTGTATGTTAATGTCTCCAAAGGTGACCACTTTTGAGGAGGTCCTCCAGAGAGAGCTCTGCAGCAGCAGGTTCAAGATGCAGCAGAAACCTTCCGATGGTGTTAGAACCACACTGTGGTGGTGAGGAGTCTCTGGTGAGTCTCAACCACAAACACACAGCACTGATCCCTCCAAAGGGAGTCGCCCTGAAGGTCTTGTCATGGATTGTGTACAATATGGGGTGCAAGGGGAGGACTGTATTACATGCATCTTGTGTTCCACTTGCCTCCTCTCACCTCCTTTCTACTCCAGGCTTTGCTGGCTGTCTGCCCCTTGCTTAACTGAACTGCACACCTCTGTCTATCTGAGGCCATCACATGTGTGATGCCTGCAGGGACCAATGCAGGAACACAATGGGGGTGTCCCCAAGTCAACACCCCGAGGCACAGTCCTTCCAATGCACTATGGGAGCTGGTGGTTAAAACTCCCCTCTCCCTTCCCTCTGTGGACCATTTGTAATGCCTTCTGCATGGCTCCTCGGAGGTCTCGGTGGGACTGAGCCCCAGTGGCCCTGTCGCTCATCAACTCAACAACCCAGTCTGCAGTGGTGTTCCTCCTTCTCAGCTCACTTTCTAGCCCTCTTTCCTTCAGATCACTTCCCAAAATAAACCTGCACACAAACCCTGTCTCAAGTTCTGCTTTTGAGGGAAAAATCTAGACAAGATCGCCAAGATTTGAAATCTGGAGTTTCTCATCCCAAGGCAAGAGTCACATCACTGAAGCTTTGGAATAGAACAAGTTCCCCCTCAGAGAGTCCAACAGTAGCCAAGATGTGACTCAGGGCCCCCAGGAGAGTACCCTGGGAGGGTCTGTTCCACCAGAAGGTGAGGCTGCCACTGCGGAGGGCCACGGCAGACTTTCCCTGGAGGAAAACCCAGAACTCATGGAAACTCTCTCCAGTTTCCCTAATGGGATTAACTGCTTTCAATTATTTGTTGGGTTAAAAATACTACTTAATATTTTAATGAGTAGTTTTTTAGACTTAGAAAACAAAGTATATGAAGATTACCACCTGTGATCAAAGGGTCTTACGGGTTGGTCATTAACTAGAATAGAATGGTCATCCCCTGTCAAAGTGGTAAGCACAGTGGTAAAACCATTTTCCTCATGTCCTTAAGATGGTTGCTGGATCTGAGACCTCAAGGATCTGTTGATTCACCCCCTCCTCATGGCCTGAGGCCAGAATCAGGCAGCTCTAATCAGAGATGCCCTAGGTCCTGCCCCTACCTGAAACTCACCTCTAGGGTGGTCTCATTGCTCCCTTACATGGATCCAGTGTCCCTTGCAAGCTCAGCTGGGAGGCTCCCAGGCCATTCCCAGGTCACCAGGTTAGAACTGGGGCACTGGGCCAGTGGGCTGTGCGTTCACATGGGCAGAGGGACCTGGGCTTTCTTGGGATATCACCCAGGTGCTGGATTCTCTGGAAGAAAGCATCTTCTCACCTTCCTCCCGGGTCCTGCTTCCTTCCAGCCCCAGGTCCTGACCCAGGCACCCATTCTTTGAGGATCTGTCCCGGCTCAGTGCTGCCCTCTGGGAAGCATTTGCCCTCATGGAAACTTCCCCCAGCCACTTGCAGATTGGTGCACAATTGGGGATTTGTGTGCTCACTCTCTTTCCTTCTCTTTCTGCTCCCTCTCTCCTTACTCATCTTCAGCTCCTTCAAATCTAGCCAGTCTCAGCCCTGAATCGAGGAAATGATCATTTGTTTAGTTATACAATGAATCAACGTCCTGCCTCTTTCTTTTAAAGCATTGTGGGATAAAGACAGAGGTTGCAGCCGCCCCAGTGGCTGGCTAAGCGAGCAGAAGGTGGTCCATCTCTGGCTAGCTCCTGGCAGTTCTCTCTGTTCTCACTCCCGTCTCTTTCCTGCAGCTCCAGGGGAGGGCTTATTTACAGTCACTGCAGAAACACTCCTGCTAACCTCTGTTGGTATAGCCGGAACCGAGTGGATATAGTGAAGCTGAGGCACTGCCTGGCAGGCACGCTCTCCAGCTGTAAGCCCTGCCCTGCAGCTCTTGAGATGGGATCCAGGCACAGAACCAAGGCTCTCAGTCCTTTCTGCCAGCCCTGCAAGCCCCATCCCTTCCCCATCAGCCAAGGCCATCCCAGCCAACAGCCCTGGGTCCTGACACCTGCAGACAGAAGGGACTCCCTTGGGCTCGCTGGCAGGCAGGGAGTGGGAGGGGCTGGGGGCTGTCGGGAGGCTGAAGACAAAGAGGCACTGGTCTCCTCTTTGTTGGGGTCTCGGACCACTGGCTGACTTCCCCTCTCTTTGGACCATGTCCAGCTTCAGGCAGCCTCCCTGTGTGGCATCTTCATCTGAGAAGACAGTCACCTCTTGGCCGTCTCCTGGAATGACAGCCCCAGGCAAGCGGCATTAGGGAGGCTCCAGTGACGGGTGGCTGGCTGACAGATGCCCTTTCCTGTTCCCTGAGTGGGAGCCGTCCCAGGCCAGGCCCCATGCTTGGGGGTTTGTCTGCCTCTCTTTGACTTGGTTCTTACTCTACCAACCAGGTGAGGCATGGTACCACATCTCCCCTTGGACTGCCCTCTGCCCACCCCTCCTTTTCCTTCTGCCCAGGTCACTCATCCTGCTGATGGTTCCTGAAGCACTGGGCCATCCTCTTGCAGGGGGCACCTGGGATACTCCCTCCTTCCCGGGGTGGGGGCACGTTGATGCCCTTCCTCTGTGTTTTCACCTTACACTTCCTGCATACGGATGGGTCTCATTCATATTCTCAGGGTCCAGCGCAAGTGTCTGCACATCACATTTCCTTGATAAAAATAAACAAAAGGAAATTGCCTGTGGAGACACAGTGAGAGGCTCAGGGCTCATGTTTGCCGTAAAAGGATGGTGTTTCCATGTGTGTATGGAGGGTGCTCTAATGCAGGTGTGTCCCCAGCTGCATTAGGTCTGGGATCTAATGCCTGATCATCTGAGGTGGAGCTGATGTAATAATAACAAATAAAATGCACGATAAATGCAATGTGCTTGAATCATCCTGAAACCATCCCCTCCCCGGTGTGTGGAAAAACTGTCTTCCGTGAGACCAGTCCCTGGTGCCAAAAAGGTTGGAGACTGCTGCTTCAGTGAACCCTGCATCAGATGGAGCAGAGAGACATGGCTCCTCCCTGGCTAAGATAACTCTCGAAGCACACAGGGCTGGGGTCTTGGAGGGGGAATATTCTTTTGCTAAGTTTTATTTATTTCTCCAATTTTTTTTCATATTTAAATACCCCCCCACCCCAACCTCATGTTAACACTGCCATCCCCATTTCCCTATGTCCTCATCTCTTTATCCATATGTAATTATAGCTTTTACCTCGTTATAATCAGTGTTCTACTTCTTCACTTAATGATATTTCAAAGACACCTTCCCTGTATAAAGTCTTCCTACCCCTCATGTTTAAAGGCTGTATAATATCCCATCGAATGGTTGCCACATAATTCACTTAATTGTTACCTGCCTGCCGGACAGGTAGGATCTAGTCGGCATGGCTTCTGCTGCTGCTATAAATATCTCGGCACTTCAAGCTTCTTTCTTCTTTTGAATTATTTCCTGAGGATATGGTCCCAGGAGCAGGATTATGGAGTCAAAGGGTCGGAATGGCTCTTGTTACATTCTGCCAGGTTGCCCTGCAAGAAGACCTGGGCTGGGGTAGGTGATGCATGAACGTCCGCCTGCCCCCATCACCTTCGCATCTTGTGCTCGGCTGGGGGTGTGCGGGGCTGGAGAAAGGAGGTAGTAAGCAGCTTGGGCTCAGGGGCACCAGCAGGGTGCCGATTTCTGGAGGTTACCCCACGCCTCTCCAGGTCCCGTGAGTGCTCCATGCCACAGAGCAGATAGCGGGACTTGAGGGCAGGTGGCTCTCGCAGGAGGGCAAAACAGAAAATGAGGATGTGCTGTCTCCTGGCAGGGGCTATGGCTTCAGTAGTGGGGGAGGGATGAGGCCGAATCAAGATGCTCATCTCAACACGCTGCAGCCCTGCTTCTGACCCTGCCAAGCCGGCCTCCGCCACGACTCCCCACTCCTCCGGAGCCGTGAGTGGGACACTCCAAGTCCCAGCTGCTGACAAACCACAGCCGGAGGAAGATAAATGGAAGGGTCCTTAATCCCAACTTCTTTCCATAATTAAGTTTTGAAGTCACAATTAGCTGAACCTGGTTTCAGTGGAGCAGATGGGCTCAGCTCCAGGTGGAAGCCTGCCTCTGGCAGCCAGGCAGGGGTTGGAGGGATTGCCAGACGTGCCAAGAGATCAGGAGAACCCCTGCCCACTGCCTAGCCAGGGGGTGACTTGTTCCTAGAGTCAGATCCTCTCCCAAGTTGTGGGGGGGGGTTGCTGGATGGATACCACTGATGGCTGTAGACGCCCCGACATGAGTCTTCAGCCCCAGTTGGTCTCCAGTTTTAAGACCTTGTTCCAAATATTTACTGCCCACCCTTGGATGGGGCATCTCAGACACCTTGACAAGAACCAGGGGCAGCTCAGACAGTCAAGTCCCTCTTGAAATCACTCCCTAGCATGCTCCTGGTTCTGCTAAACTGACATAATTCATTCCCTCATTCAGCATCTCTGTAGAGACCCACATTTTACCAGGCTCATGGCTGGGCACAGAAACACAGAAGCCCCCTGGCTGGGTCCAGCAGGGACCAGATATGCAAAGCCCTGCTCTGGTCCCTTTTGGAGACAACCAGCCAGCATCTCTCCTTTCTCGAGTCCTCCTGCATTCGAGAACTGACAAACACACCCGGGGGCATGACCCCACTTCAGGATCCTGGGCCACGCCAGGGATATGACAACAAAAAATGGCCCCACAGTGGAGGGCCAGGATCTGGGTTCCCCTTTCTCTGGGAATACCTCCCTCGGTCACCCCAGTTCCTCAAGGCTGGAGAAGGACTCTCTCTCATCACCCGTTCCTCTTCCATCCATTCACCTTCAGAGGGGTATAGGCCCCTGGGAAGTCCTGCCTCCTCTTTGCTCTCTCCTGTAGCCTGGCTTTGTTCCCAATTTCTCCTTCCTCTAGGATCCCTTCCTTTGTCACTCTGTTTTTGGAGGTCTTGCCTCCTATCACCCTGGCAGCTCAGTTGGTAAAGAATCTGCTTGCAATGCAGGAGACCTCAATTGGATTCCTGGGTCAGGAAGATCCCCTGGAGAAGGGGTAGGCTACCCACTCCAGTATTCTTGGGCTTCCCTTGTGGCTCAGCTGGTAAAGAATCCGCCTGCAATGTGGGAGACCTGGGCTGGATCCCTGGGTTGGGAAGAGCCCCTGGAGAAGGGAAAGGCTACCCGCTCCATTATTCTAGCCTGGAGAATACCATGGACTGCAGTCCATGGGGTTGCAAAGAGTCAGACACGACTGAGCGACTTTCACTCACTAGGATCCCTTCCTTTGTCACCCTATTTTTGAAGGTCTTGCCTCCTGCCACCCCCACCACCAAACCCCCTTTTATTCTCTGTCCCACACTTGCCCACCCCCCCCCCCGCCCCCCGCCGCTTCCCTCACTAGCTTGTAGGAATGGACTTCAGAGTCACTTGCTTCTTTCACAAAAAAATCCCTGAACCTGGAAGGGACCCTTTTCCTTCCCAGACCTGCTGAACCTTAGCCAAGGTTATGCTCCTTACCCTCTCTTGGAATCTCAAATGTCCTCAACAGCCCCCACGTCTGGAGTTGTTTACTTGGGGGTGGATATCAACGGTGAGTATATGACAGGCTAGACACAGGAGTGACCCCCATTTTCCTGGGACCTGCACATGGATGTCACCCCTGGGTAGAACTAATAGAAAAGGGGTTAAATTTCCTGCTTCTCTGGTGACCAGATCAGGGCTGTGGGAGCAGGTGGGCGTGTGTCTTCCCGCCTTGTGCTCTCACAGAAACGGGGGAGGATGTGTGGTGGGAGCGAACTCGTGGCTCATATCCCATCAGAGTTTCCCAATCACATGGGCACCTCTCCCTTCATTTGTCAGTGTGCGCCTTTCCCGAGCTGTGTCAAACCCCCCAGTTTTCTACCTGCAGCTCCAATCCGAACCCTATGTCTAGCAATTGCCAAAATAATCAGGAAATGATGGCAGAGGCCAAGGACTCATGATTGGGGTCGGCCCTGCTCAGGGGCGCCCTCCCCTCTTCCTCTGTGGTTTATTTATGCCTTATTTTGTGGGGATCTCAAGATCTTCTACAGGGGGTGCTCTGAGCCTTTGGGGGGACTGCTGGCCACGAGAGATGGTATCAGTCGGGTGTGGCCAACAGAACTGATGGGCTGTGGGTGATGTCGCCCCTTCTGCCTTTGCCCCCACCAAGAATATTGGTGCCCCAGGGATGGAAGGCCGCAGAAGTCACAGCCTGACTTTGTGGCTGGCCACCCGCCATGCGGACGCTGGGGCGTCTCCCAGGCCTCTGCACCTGTCGTCGCCTGGACTGGGAACTGTGGCTGTGGAGGAAGCTACAACGCTGTGTGCGGGCATCACGTGGGCCTCAGCACGCAGAACGGTGCCACAGACTACCTGCCCGTTTCTATATCTGAAAGTGGCACCAGCAGCTGTTGGGGGGACGAGTGTCCCGAAGACGCTCCCCGGAGAGCGAATGCCCGGAGCCCACCTGCAGGGTCCCACTCAGCCCTGGCATAGCAGGTGCTCAAATACTCAGAGTAACGCAGAGTTGACTGTCCCCTCTGACAGCCCAGGATGGGGCTCCCCATGACAGCTCCACCCCAGGGCTTTTCAAACTGTGGGTTTTAGGCCCCTGATGAAGTGGAGGGGGGGGCTGGGGCCCCTCCTACAATTTTCTCGCTCACCACCAAAAATGGCTCCACAGTTATTACTGGAGTGAATGAATACTGAGTCCTGATTTTTAGTAAACCCAGACACCATCCTGCAGCTTCACCTAGGAACCCTGTCTCTCAGTGATCAGACAGCTTTCCCGCTGGCTTAGGAGAGAGGCTGGCCTGTCGGTCCAGGTGACCCTTGGCTCCGGCCTTGACAACAGGAGCTGAAGGTATCAATGTCTCAAAAGTGACTCAGACCAAAAGAACGCAGCTGCCGGTCCTTGCTGGCCACTGGAGGGAAGGTAGGAAGGGGATAAGGAAGGAGGAGCTTCGCCGGGACAAGAAGGTCCCCCCCCCAACCCCCCCCCCCACCCCGGCATCTACCAGGGCAGAACCCCCCAGGAGGCTGGGTCTGGCCTGGAAGGGTAGGCTTTCTGATTCCCAGGGGCTGCCCACTCTGAGATGCCTGGAGGGAGAGGAGACTGGAGACCCAGGGGCCCCCAGATCCCAGGTCTTAGGAAAAGAAGGCACTAAATCCTCATTATAAAGCTTTTTAAATGCACAGACAGGATATTAGCGTTTAAACAGCTTCTATTACTCCAGGGCAAACTTTAAAAAACATAATATTTATAGAAAACCTCATTCAGCTCACCCTGTTTGCTCTTTATTTCTCCTGCAATTATGGCTAATTTGGAGACAGTTTGCTGGCATCTCCGCCTGGTGCCAGTCAATTATGAAGCCACCCACTGGCTCCCCCAGGTTGCAGGGTGACATGAGGCTGTCCCCGAACCTGTCCTTCCTCCCTGCCCTCCCTCGTCCTGGACACACCTCCCCCTGAAGGCCCTCACACATCGTGGGCCAGCACCCTTTCTCCATGAGCCATCTGAATGTCCTGGGAGCCCATTTTCCAAGGTCCGCCCCCAACCCCAGGCATAGAGGCAGGGAGGTGTTTGCCTCTGTAGGGCTCCCAGCCACTGAAGCTCCCAGACCCTGGCCTTGCATGTGACTGCCCTCCTGCATCTCTGAGCTGAGCCCCAGTAATGCTGAGCCTGGGATGAGAGGCTGGCAATGAGTCGTCTGCCTGCTCTGGGTTGCAGCCCCATGAATCCCAGAGTCACACTGCCCCTCTGGGACCTGTGGGGGAGGCGGCTCTCCGAGGAGCCCTGCAGTGCTCAGGCACAGGCACTTTGCTCTCCAAGGACATGCCACTGCCAATAACCCCCTCTCTCCTTTGTCCATCCCCCAAGTGTTTGCCAAGATCTTCCCTTTTCAGGGCACAGCTAGAACGCAGCTCAGACACACCTGTCCACATGGGGTTCCCAGTCTGGGGAACCATGAAAAAGGAAGGGTGGCAAGGCTCACATAAGACCAGGTGGATCCCGACTGGTGCACAGGGTTGGACATCAGACCTGGGCTGAGAAGAGGTAGGTGAGGAGACCCAGTGTGAGCAGGTACAGGAAAGCATCTGGGAGCCAGGGCAAGAGCCGGTTCCAGTCCGGGCTCTGCCATCCTCAGCCTTCCAGCCTGAACAGCCTCCTTGCCCAGGGGCAGCCACACCCCCTGTAGGGGTTGGGGGAGAAAGCGCTGTGGACCCCCGGCGACCAACAGCACAGGCCGAAGCTAGTGTGGGTTTCCTCCTGCAGCAGTGGACCAGAGGAGGCTGCTGTGGCCACAAGGAGAGCCCAGGTGGGTGAGAAAAACAGAACGTCCTCCCATCCCGGGTCACCCTGTTTTGCTACCCAATATCCCTACTCCCTATGTGCTGGGCAACGGAGCATGCGGACCATCGCTGCTTCTCGACCTACATGATGGTGCAGTGACTCACCCTACAGAGAGGCACCTGGGGCTCAGAGAGGTTTGCTGACTCACTGAGGTCACACAGCTGCTAAGCTACAGACCTAGATTCCAGGCCAGGCCTGAGGGATGTGAAGTCCCTGTCCCTGGCATTGGGCCCTCTGCCCAGACCCTGCCCTCCCAACTCAGGTGCCTCTGTTTCCCCTCCTTGGTGACAGGCCTCCTCCATGCGAAGTCAATGGGCAGATGATCCAAAGACAGAGATGACTGCAAAGCAGGCAGGGGACCTCTCTCACGGAGCAGGGGTGAACTTCCACACCCATACCACCAAAGGGAACCCCAGTGGTCAGACCGTAAGGGCCAGGGCCGGCATTCTCTTCTACAACCAACCCCTGTTTTGCCATGATCAGGCCCCTTCACAGTGAGGATGGGGGCCACGGGCCCCAACTTTGTCAACTTTAAAACGGGAGCAATGATACCTCTAACACCTCCTTGAAGAGTGGTGACCAGGGCGTGGGGAGTCTGGTGGTCAACTGTGTGACCCTCGGCTCAAGGCTGGAGGGCAGTGGGGAGCCCTGCAGGGCTTCTACTTCAGAGGACACCCTCTGACCAGGCCCCACCCTGTCTCGTGGAGCAGACTCATTCATTCTAGCATGCAAGTTTCCTGGAGTCCCGGGCAAGTGGCTGTTACATGGTAGGCACCAGAAACAAGAGCTGAGTAAGACCCAGTCAGGATTCTGGAGGGAGTTACCAGTGGAAGGGAGATGGCAGAGTAAATGGGTAAAGACACTGCCCTCAGATGAGTGCATAGGGACACAGTGGAGGGAACAACACCCACTTGTGGGGTGGTCAGAGCTGGCTTCCTGGAGGTGGTGACTTCTAAACTGCTTCTCACTTGACATGCCACAGCCCTCCATGTCTTTGCCCACAAGCTCACCCTAAACTGAAGGTAGGAGCCAGTTGTGGGGTGGGGGACATGGAGGAGGGAGGGTGTTTTATGAGGAACAAGCCTGGGGGAGGGGGCGCTCAGAAGATGTTCTAGTTAACCTGGAAACAGCTCAGCCTGGCTGGACCACAGAGGGGTGAGAATGTGAAGGAGCTGCAGGGGATGAGACTGGGGCTAAACAGGTCAGATGAAAAGAACTTTGTGCTTCAGGCTAAGAAAGAAGTTTAGACTTGACCTGGGCAGGTGGCGCTGGGGCCTGGGCCTGGGGGTCTGGGGAAGCGGGCGGATAAAGAGAAAGGGCAGAGGCAGAACCCGCAAGGCTGGTCTGTGCTGGGAAGCTGGGCTTGGCAGGAATTAAGGGTGATCCCAAGAGTTCGGGTGGGTGGGAGGACCCTCCTGGGACTGTAGGAAAAAGAAGGAAAAGCTGGTCAGAAGAGAAATGAGCAGTTTCAATGTGCTGAGTCTGAGGAATGTGTGGACACCAGGTGGGCATCAGGTGGACAGTGGGAAACGAGTAGGTGCCAGGTGGGGCTTGGGAGGGGCTCCAGGCAAGGGTGCTAACTTGGGAATTGGCAGTTTGAGTGCCATCTCCTGAAATGAGGTGGGGACATGGCTCAGGGAGAGAGATCTGGGGGACAAGACCCAGGGGAGGGGTCTGTCGGCCATGGCCCCTCTCCTTTCTATAGCGGTGAATCCCCGCCTGGACATGAAGCCCAACCAGGGAAGAGGAGAAGGTGAGATTCTCCAGTTCAGGTTCCAGCCCTGTCCTAAAACAACCTCAAAAGTTCAGGCGGGGACACTCCGGCACATCCCCCAGGCCCAGCTGTGTGAGTGTACAAAGACAAAGCCTTGGAGGGGAGGGGCTGAGATGCAAGGCTGAGATGCCTCCTGAGAGGCAAGATCCCCCAAGAGGAGCCACAGCCCCTAAGAAGTAGCATGCTTGGAGGGGGGGCCAGGACTCTCCTCTACAACCACCTAGCCACCTGGGAGCATCTCCTGGTTGTCAGGCCCAGACCAGGGGAAGTACCACGAGGCTCTGGAGGGACCCTCAGGCCGCAGGAAGGATCAGGGCCAGCTCACTAATGCCAGCCTCGTACTCCCTGGAATCGAGATACAGAGAGAAATCCACTCTGTCTGCTGGTTCAAGAAGGGTGTCTCTGGGGCCCTGTCCCCTAGGGCTGGCCTTGAAAAATGAGGAGGAATCTGCAGAGCAGACAAAGACTTGGGCAGCCAGGCCATTCTCGGCAGAGTTATTGGTCTTTGCAAAAGATGGAGGCTGACAGCAGCTAGGCACATCACGCTCATGCTCAGTCGTGTCAGATTCTTTGCGAGCCCAGGGACTGCATCCTGCCAGGCTCCTCTGTCCACGGGATTCTCCAGGCAAGGATACTGGAGTGGGTTTCCATTTCCTCCTCCAGGGAGTCTTCCCCACCCAGGGATGGAACCAGCGTCTCCTGTGTCTGTGGATTCTTTACCACTGAGTCACATGGGAAGCCGTGATCTAGACCCTAATTCTGCTGGCCCTAATTCTGCCCTGGGTGGGAATGGGGTCAGCAGAGCCCAGTGGAGCTTGGTTTGTGACGACAGTCGTGGGGCTGACTACAGCCGTCCTGGCTCCCAGTGGCCACTGGCACCTTCTCTGTGGCTGCCTTGGCCTCTCCTACTGACACCCTGCCCAGCCCACTGTTGAGCCACCCAGGTGCCCCACAGGTTCCTGCTCCCAGATCAGCCCCTCCCAGTGAGGCCCCAGGCCTTTGAGAGTTTCCCTGGAGGTGGGGACTCGCTGTGGCCCTGGAGGAGGACGCCATGGGGCAGGCTGCACCTGGGACTGGGAGGACAGCTGGAGGAAGTGCTTCCGTGTGGGGAAGCCCATGGCCTGGGTGCTGCTGGGGCCACTGGTGAGGCCCCAGGGAAAAGGTCTCTTCCATGTCAAAAGCACGGAACTCAGATTTTCAAACCACCTCCGTGGAAGCTCTGAGGCCAGGGATCATAGGAGACCTGCAGGCATGCTTGTTTGCACGCATGCGTATGCACACACACACACACACACACACACACACGCCTGGCTTTCCTTCTCCCAGTTCTGCCGAACTTAATAAGAACCATTAGTCCCTCCTCATCCT